ATTATATAAATAATAATTAAAATTTTTTTAATTAAATAAAAATACTCAATAAAAATTTTATGTAAAAAATTTTCTTAATTGTTATTTACATAAATTATTAAATTTTTATCTCAAATTTATATTTTAAAAATTAAAAAATCAAATTAAAATTATTAGAAATAAACATGGTGAGTAATAACTAATGATTTTCTTTCCAGTGAGCTGAATGGTGGATCCATTAAGGTCGGTAGGGCCTCATATGGGAGCGAACAATAAACCCAAGGTAAATCAACTTAGGATTTGTATAATTGTATCCCGGTCCTTTTCCATGAATATGGGTCCTCATCTCAAACGTCCCAGCAACCAGCCATTGCTAAAACCTCAAAAACCCTCGCCTGCTTTGCTTTTCCTTTGCTGCATCTTCCTTTCCATACAAGGAGAATGAGGGTGGGGGGAAAGAGCTCCGCTAAGGTCAACTCCCTGAAGAAGAAAGAGAAGGAAAGAAATATATATATATAAAGGATAACAAAACAGATGTAAGCAAAAAGAAGATGAAGCAGAATACAAGTACCAAGAGGAAAACCCAACCCAAGCAAGAGTTAATTGAAAAGGATCAACCCGAACAAGAATCAGTTAGTGCGTCGTATTCTGACTACGAGGTATTTTCATTACATGTCCTTTCAGCTCTCCTCCTCTTGTCTGCAAATGTTCCTTGTAACTTTAGCTGGCGCAGGGTGGGCTATGTCGGTTTTCATTTCTTTTCTTTTCTTTTCATTTCATTTTTTTTGGTGAATATCGTTATGCTATTTTTTCTCAATGAAGTTATAGCTTGATGCTGCGAATTCTGGGTGTTTTGATTGAATTATAGCTATCGTCAAAGTTTAAGTTTTTTTTTTAAGGACTTCTCTGAGGAAGAGGGAGTCCTCAGAGTCAGAAGCAGTAGATAGTGAATCCTCTGAAGATGAGTTACATGGGAATTGCCTTCATTTTGTTGTTCTTTATACTTGAGGTAGAAATTTCTGTAAAAAAGAAGAAGATGGAAATGTTTAATTGGGGTAGCATGGCAATGGCAGGGCTTTGAAGAGAGAGTTGACAATGAAGGTGATGAAAGCGATCACGATCAAGACCAGAGTGGGAGCTCGGAATCCTAACAGGGACTTGAAGACAGCGATTCATCTGACGATGAGGTTGGTGCTGCTGCCTGTTTTTTAGAAGATAAAACACTTGATTGCTATTCCTATCTGTTTGGAACCCTCCTTTCCATAACTCTTTTCTTTGGATCATTAGGTGGCACCTCAAAATACAATAGGAGATGTTCCATTGGAGTGGTATGGAATGAGAAACATATTGGATATGGCATTACTGGGAAGAAGATAGCAAAGAAAGAAAGACAAAAAAAATTGGATTCTTTATCTTGCAAAGTGGATGACTCAAAAAATGGGTGAGTTCTTTTTTTATTTTTTTTATTTTTCCCCCTCGACCTGATGGTACTTGCAATCATACAGACACATGCATATAAATGGACTCCTTTAATATTCAGGTGCAAGATCTATAATGAGTATAATAATGAGGAGATAGAGCTAACTAAATAAGAGTTTAGACTTATTTGTAGGATGCTCAAGGGAAAGGCACAAGATTCTGATTTTGATCGGTACGCAATCTGTAGTTTCACTCATTATTGTTGTAGTCAGGCACTAATAATGTTCAACCTTAAATTATGAGTTTTCTGTATACTCAAAGTTGAATCCTACTAATTGATTACAGTCTTATGTTGATTGATTTAAATGGGATGATGCCAAGCATCCTTTGTCCAATGTGCCAGAACCTAAATGGAGGTTCATTCCTTCAAAATGAGAGAATAAAATGGCAAATACCTTTACAATTTTCTAGTTATTAAATTTTGAACAAATATTATGACCTTTTGCCCCGAGTTGAAAAGACTAAACTTTTGCGGAAGTTGGTCACAATTCATGTTTTATCCTCCATTCTTCTTGGTGATTCTCTAGGTTGTTAAGCTTGTAAGAGCCATTCGCAAAGGGTGGATAAACCCTGACAAGCCTAAAGAAGAAGCACATTGTGTCTATCTCCTATGGGGAGATGATTCCAGCTTGACAGAGAGTAATAGGCACTTGGCATACATACCCCCACCAAAGCCAAAATTGCCAGGTATGCATTTTAGCCATCATATGGCTTAAAATTACCAGCTGTTTGTTTACATGATTTATGATGTATTTGAAAGCTTTGTTCTAATCAACGTTCAGGCCATGAGGAATCATACAATCTGTCTTTAGAGTACATACCAACTCAAGAAGAGATGAATTCTTATCATTTAATGTTTGAGGAAGATCTCCCTAAATTCATACCAAAAAGGTAGTATTTGTTTCTTGGTTTTTTTACCATGAATATTTTAGGGGTAGTTAACATTCAAAGAAAATGAAAGGATGTGCAAACTTTGTTTGCATGTGTTGTCTTTTACTTGAAATTAAGCAATCTTCATGATTTCATGCATGAATGCTCAGGTTCTCATCCTTTAGAAGTATTCCAGCATATGAAAATGCTGTCAAGGACTCATTTGAAAATTGTTTGGATCTGTACTTGTGCCCTACAGTGCAAAACAAACATGTAAGTCAGAGATTCATATTGGATAAACATTTGTGTCTCATAAGTTTTAACTTTGAAGTTCTCTATCATGCTTCTTGAATTAAGCCAATGTAACTTATTTTGGTCACAACTGTCATGTTAATCAAAGTTTCCCTTTCTGTGCTTCATATTGACGTAGACTCTGAGTTTTTGAAGCCCAAGTTGCCTAGTTGAAAAGATCTCAGGCCTTACCCAGTAACATGTTACCTTGAGTATAGAGGTCACCAGGGTGCAGTTACGTCAATATCTGTTAAACATTCTGGACGGTGGATAGCTTCAAGTATGAATGTCTGCTAATATATATATATATATATATATACACACATACTATTGTTTCTGTCAGAGAATAAATAAATCAAACACGGCGATTCTAAATCTCATGATTTCTTAATGATGATTCTAATCTCCTGATTTCTTATATCTGCAAAGGTTCAATTGATGGAACAATTCGTGTGTGGGAAGTAGAGAGTGGTAGGTGTCTCAGAGTTTTGGTAGTTAGTGAAGCTGTGCAGCATGTAGGATGGAATCCTTTGCTAGAGCTTCCTATATTGGCAGTTGCTTTGTATGTCTAATTTGACTGTCTCTTAGTTGTTTAAATTTCAATATTTGTTTTATTTCCCTGTAAAGTGGTGGCATATCTACATTTTGTCTGCTGGTGCTGATAATTTATCCATACAAGTTGGTTTTGCAACTTTCTTTTATCAGATCCAATTCAATGTTAAAATAACTGCTATTGTTCTTTTCAGGGGAGCTGATGTAGTCATTCTGAACACTGGGCTTGGGAATGAAGGACATAAAAAGATCAAAGAACTTCTACATGTTGAGATGCCTACGGCTCCTAATGGCTCTAGTCTGTGTAAGTAGCTATTATTTCTTTTTCTTTCTTTTTTTTTTTATCAAATGAACAGTCTGATTTTCTAAATTAAAATTTGACGTACAGGTGACACCCCATCCATTTTGAGCTGGCTTCAGGATGAAAAAAATGAGGGAAGCAGGCTAAGGCATTTTAAGGTATTTTCAGTTCCCTCTTTCGGGGAATGATAGCATTGAAAAGCAATGGAGGGTCTTTTAGGAAAAAATTAAAGGAGTTTGGCTTTGCTCTTGAAGACTGTCTCTTGCATAGAGTGGCATCGTAAATGAGACTATCTATCTACAGTAATGCCAGCAGATATCCTTTTTCTGGTGTTGCATTATTATATTTTCTGTTCTTTTATCATAATTAGATAGGGACTGTGGCAAGTCACAAGTCTACTTGTTCCTTCCAGCGAAATTTGCATTTTTTATTGGTCCTTTGTTGGTCCCATTTTGCTGAAATACAAGATGACTGCAAATGCTGTGGTCAGGCATCATCTACTTGGTGGCTGGGGTGATTGATATACCTGGTGGTAAGGTGGTAGTCATATGTTAAAACTAAAGATTTTCCTACTTGGTCCAAGTTAGTAAGTTTCACTTATAATTCTTGTGCGTGCACATATTTGATTTAATTAGTTTGATGGATTTTCTGAACTTGTTAATTACATGAATCAAGAGCAATACTTATACATCAGATCTCTAAAAGGGTTACCCAAATACTCCCTTTTAAGCACCATGGAGTTCCAGTATCATCACTCTTTCATCCCACTCGTTCTATCCTTTTTATTGCAACAAAGAAGACTGTTTGTGTATATGATCTGCTGATCTGCTGAAGCAACAGCTCATGAAAAAGCTTGATACTAAATTGCGTGACGTATCATCAATTGCAGTTCATCCTGCTGGTATTTCTCACTGGTTTTTCACAGATTTAATTTGTTAGCACCATTTCTTGCTCCCTTTCCTCAATTATCCACTGAATACATGGACTTGCTTTCCATGCTGGTGATAATGTTATTGTGGGGAGTAAAGAAGGAAAATTATGTTTGTTTGACATGGACCTTTCTTCCAAACCTCGCAAAACCCTCAAGTATGTCATCTTATTTGAAACTAGATATATTCTGTAGTTATCTCATTTATCAATGTATTTCTTTTGCACTGCAATTAGTTAACACAACTCAACTTTACTTTAATTTTGGTATATATTACCTATTCTTGGTTCTTCTCAGGTGTCATCCTAAAGACATTACAAATGTAACCTTCCATCTTTCATATCCCTTATTTGCATCATGCTCGGATGACTGCATGGCATATGTTTTTCATGGCATGGTTTATGCTGAACTTAACCAGAATCCTCTTATTGTACCCTTGGAAATTCTAAGAGGGCATACAACTTCAAATGGAAGAGGTGAGTGCTCTGACTTTTATGAATTTTTTCTCCCTAATAAATAGACAACAAAAATGTGGATTGCAAGAGTAGCAAGAAATGGATGCACTTAAGCTAATGAAATGGAACTTGCCTAAGCATACATGGTTAACGTGGGTAATGCCTGTTAGGACTTTATCTATATGACTTTAGGAATATAAGTTGCAGAATTCATATGTGGCCATTAATCGACATACATAAAAGCTACTTTGTGACTGATGGTTGTTGCATTACAGGAGTTTTGGACTGTAAGCTCCATCCAAGACAGCCATGGCTATTCACTGCTGGTTCTGATTCATTGATCAAACTGTATTGCCATTGAAATAATTAGGAAGGAACATTAATTAATTTTGCCTTGAAAGGTTATCAACTCAACATAAGGGGGAATTAGGATCTTCTGCATGCTGATTTTTGACTTGAGTGTAACATATACTGTGACCAATATTCTGGCCTACTGTCTCGTTTTGTTTTCTTTTATTAGTAGTTTTGTAACCGATTTCAGAATGCTGTGGGTGGAAAGAGTATGAATTCTGTAATGACAATTTATTGTACCAAAAACTCTCAAATGATTCTAATAGCAAAGAACTATTCACACAAGTGTGATCCTCATGGTCCTTGGAATTGAAGTACCTTTTATGAATTCCCAGCCAAGGAAACATAAACTACATTTTTGCAATTAATTGTGCAAGCTCCCTCATAAAGCCCTTTATTTCTCTACAAAATGGAATCCTATGGTGCAATTGTTCTTCATGCATGTAATGGCATTTGACTGATTATTTACAAGAACTGTACACCATGTATCTAACTAGGGATGGTTTCTACAGGTCATATTTAAGAACTCTTTTAACTTAAAATATCAGTTAGTAAAAACAGATGGGACATTACAAAAGTTGAACTGGTGCAATGGCTGGGATTTTCTCTCGCAATTTTTGGGTAACGGCCACGGTAACAGTCTTGACTCCTGCTGCTGGACCTGATATACGAATTTTCACCATCGGCTCCTCAATGGAACTAATTCCAAAGAGCCAACAGCTGCCCCAACAAGGTATGGCCTAATTTCTCCAAGTACCTGACATAAACCACGTGCAAAATCAGTAAGCAATTCTTTCATCGGTCAAATTCAACTTGTTAATTTATTTGAAAGCCAAAACACATTAGGGAACAAATAAAAAATGCCATATTTTGTGCAAGGAATTCAGCAATTCAATGGATTAACAAGAAGATTAAGAAAAAGGGAAAAAAAA